CAGCAGAATCATTAGAAAGAGTGAGAAGAAACAGACCTATAACTCTAACAAATGGTTCTACATTATCTGGTGAGAAGTGGACCATTATATTACTCAACTGTTGAGCATCCGTGTGTATAACACTGCCAATTACTGTGGGTTTAGAGGCAAACATAAAGACATGGCCTTGATATTGAAGGAATTTACAATTTAATGGAAGACAAAACTAATAAACAGGGAACAATTAGAATATGTTTGATAAGTACTGTACTTTGCAAATGATGCAGCCACATTATGCAAATTTGAATCCTCCAAATTTTAAATAATGTGATATAAATATTTCTCATACTTTTGCAAAATTTGACATATTTGTATCTCCTTAAATAAAAAAAAGTATTGGTAATCACGTAAGTTCAAAGCTGATGACCTAGTAAATTCTAAACCGTTTATCCTGTTGTCATTTGGTAGCTTAACTGTAGCTGATGCTAACCCTTTATCATCATTGTGTACACAAGGCTGTGGTGTTTATGTACTTCTGTGTTGCTCTGAGTGATTTTGGTGACTTGTGGTGACAATATACTATTTACTATTATAATTTAATGCCTTTTATATATCATATATTACTCAATATTTCATTACATGGTGTTGATAGTATTGAATAATACACCCACAGGTAATTTCTTTCTTTTCTTTTTCTTTTTGGTGGCTGGCCATATGGGGATCTGAACCCTTGACCTTGGGGTTATGAGCTCCAAGAGCCACTGGCCAGCCCCTGCAGACAAAATTTTGTAATGGGAGAAGTGAGCCATGATAAAATGCTATGGGGAAGGTCAGACAAGCTGCTGTGTGCCACGTTAGAATTATACAGTGTCTTAAGGGATACATTTATGGTGTAAAATGTCCAATCAGAGTATGCTGGAGTAATTGAAAATGGGACTTAGGGATAAGGGGGCACTTTTCAAGTAGGGTAGCAATTACAGGAAAAAGCACTAAAGGAAAGAAGGATGCACTTTGTACCTTTGTACATAGGAAAAGCTTGTATTTTACAGATGGTAAAAAGAATAGAATCAAACTGGTAGAATGCAGCCACAGTTTAGAAACTGTCAAGCCTAGCAGAAGAATTTAGATTACTTAATTGGGTCCCTTATTGAGTGAGGGAGTCACATGCTCAATTCTGTTTCAGGAAGATTATTTTGGCAATGATATGGAAGGGAGGGGAAGAGTCTAGAAAAAGGGAGTCAAGGTGATGGGTGGTAGAGTTTAGTACGAGCAGTCAAGGAGAACAAACAGCAGACCAATTTCAAAGGAAGAAACATAATTTAGTGGTTGATTACCTTTCTAACATAGCCACTTCTCTAACGTAGAGTTGGGTTGATTATGGAGCTAAATTTTATCTTTTTTTTTCCTTTTTGTCTTTTTTACTGACCGGTAACGGCATCGCAACCCTTGGTGTCACGCCTGTACTGGGGACCGGCAACAGGATC